GTTCAGGGTTTTGTAGGTCAGAACCTGCACCTTGAATTGGGATCGGAAAATGAATTCAGCCAATGGAGCTCCTTAAACAAAGGGCTTGACCGCTCCCTGTAAGTCGCCCTAGTAAGTAGCCTGGCCGCTGCCCATTGGACCAATTAAAATTTCCGAGCCGTCTTCAAGGGCAGCCCCACGTAGAGTGCATTACAGTAGGCCAATCTGGAGGTGACTAAGGCGTGGACCACCCTGGTACGGTTGCAGCTGGCGCACGAGTCTTAATCATAATCATCATAATAACACTGTTCTACAAATGTTCAGTTTTTCTCAGTTGCGGAAACGAAATGTGCCGTTTCTTAATAAATTTAACATGCTGAATTCAAATATAATAATTAAATGTGTTGATTGGCTCTGGTTTTTATGCAACAGCTATTTCAATTTTCTCCACAATAGGTAATTCGTTAATAATAAAATAAATCTACATTCTTCTCTCCAGTCACGCTACAATATATACAGTGTAATTACTACTAAGTTATTACTATCTTAATAAAGGAGGAGGTACGATTGAACAGCCTCCCTTCTAACTTGATGGAAAATTTGGTTCCTAATCGGCAGCCTCCATTGCAAATCGGCTAGTTCTTTTAAAGATTGGGAACTGGGATAAAATCTCCTGAACACTGGTTCTTTTCAAATTGGTAGCAACAATAAATCATCCCCCAGCTCCCCTGCTTCTTTTCAAATTGGTGGCAGACGACGGGATACGTTTAACAACTGATTAAGTGCCTTAAGACTACTTTGAGAATAATTTGTGAGGTAAAAGTTATTGAAATATGGCTACCAGACGACAGAAAAAGCTTGTTGAGGAAACAGAGGGAGACCAAGAAGGAAGTTCGGGCTCTGAAGCAGAAACAGAGCCAGTGCCTGTGTCAGAAATGGCTTTTAAGTACAAACTAGAGATGAAACGATTGGAAATAGAGGCAAGACAAAAAGAGAGAGAACAAGAGACAAAACAAAGGGAAAGAGAGTTTGAGGAAAGACAAAAAGAGAGAGAACAGGAGATAGAATTGAGAAGAATGGAAGTTGAACTGCAAAAGCAAAAATTAGCTTTGTCTCAAACATCCAGTAACATCCAAGAAGGGAGCTCTAGAGTGGATTTTACAGATTCAAGTTCAGGACTCTGAAAAGAGATAAAAACCAAAGTTTCGCTCAGGTGGCCTCTAGATTGTCTCAACTGTTCGATAGTTGGCTAAGGACGTCTGAGGTGGAAAATTACCAACAACTGAGAGAACTTTTAAAATTGGAACAATTTTTCCAATTGATACCTTCAGATTTTCTCTGGCTGGTACAGGATCGAAAGCCATCCACTGCAGTAGAGGCAGCAGTTATGCTAGATCAAATAATTACCCTAAAAGAAGGATTCAAAAGGGAAGATCTGCCAAGTGATAAAAGGACAAACAGGCAGCCATTTTACCAACATCAAACGCGCCCACAGCAAGGAAAAGGTTCTGCAATAGAAAACCTCTCCTGGAGGAGGCAGAGTGTAACAAGTCAAACTGCTCCTGAGGGAAAAATGAGGTGTTTTCAGTGTGGAAAGTGGGACCATATAAAGTATCAATGTCCCCTTTTAAGAAAAGAGAAAACAACCCTCTTTGTAAATAAAGTAAAAGAAACAAAGAAGACAGAACCAGATACTGTGTCAAAGGAGAGTTCAGAAACAGAGCCTCAAGAGAAACAGTGTTTGTTCATTTTGTCAAACACCCCATCGGAGGATTACTTAGAATCCATTTCCATTGACAACAAAGACATGAGAGGATTACGGGACACAGGGTCCGAAGTGTGTATTATACATGCAGATATAATACCTCAGAAATTTCAGCATCCTACCTCTGAAATAAGATTAAAAGGCTTGGGACCTGCAATACCAACAGCAGTAGTGTCTTTGCCAATAGAATATGGAGGTTGGAAGGGTATGTGGGATTTTGCAGTCAGTCCAGACATACCATACAGATGTTTAATTGGAAATGATCTGGCTAAAAAGATTGAAAACTGGAGAATGACGTGTGAGGAGGA